TAACTACAAATGATTGAGCCGTAGGTGGCTACAAATGATGTGTCAGTGTGAGAATGTCCTCAGAAGCGTAAAGAAAGGAGGGGGTGGGAATTACAATTTTCCATTGTGCCACATCTCGCCGTGTTCCTCGGGGGTATAATAGCGCAAAAACTAGAACGGATTCCTAGAAAAATCTAGCAAAAACAGACCTTTTCAACAGCTCACAAATGTCCCTGACTTGACTATAAGGCCCGACTGGTGCTTAAAAGGTGGCAGGGTCAGACTTATGAGCTTTCGCGTCGGTTTGGAACCTCCTCATCGAAGAAATTTGCTTCACTGGGGCTCTGGAATGTTCTCTAAAAGACAGCCTATGGAAAAAGTTAAGTAGCCGTATTCGTGCGTTACCCATGAAAGGACGACATAATGAAGTACATAAGCCGGCCGGAAGGAGACATCCCGCCCAGAGGAGCCTTTTACCCATTTGCTCCATCCCGTGTTTTAGAAAAGAGAAAAAGATAACCGCAAAGAGAATGATTTATAGGTTAAGCTAACTTCAGGGAGATGGAGACTGAAAATTTCGGTTCCTTTGGGTCGCATAGACGTTTGGTAGGAGGTGGAGGGGGGGGGGGGTGTAATATTTCTGGATAAGGCATGGAACCAGTCCAGCAGGGATCAGGGGGACAGCATTTGCTTAAGGGGAGTTTCTTGGGACCCCAAACATCAATTTAGAGGTTATAGTTTCCTTGGAAATCCATCCACGAATTTACAGCTTACAGTAATTCAGGAAAATACTGGTTTTTGAAAGTGTTGCCTTTTTTGGCACATTTCCATAACTGGGGCTGGGGTCTAATACACGTATGGTTAAATGAGAGGCAGGCCTAATGCTTCAAACAGTTCGGAACAGTAAGGAGAGCCCACGAGGATGATTACATGACATTTATCAATCACAACTTTTCTCAGCAACAGCCAAGAGGCATTTCCTCGTTCTCTCCTTGGCAGAAAGAAGTAAGGAGAAAAAGAAAAAGAAGAAAGAAAGAAGAAAGGGAGTGGAAGGATTCACGGCTGACAGGTATGCTGACACGCAAAGGGGTGGGCTTCTGCTGCTCATCTGGATTAGGGGAGGGATAAAGAGGAGAGTAGGCAGCGTGTACACATGGGGATACATAGCGCAGAGAAGAATCACTGTTGAGTAATTGAAGTGTAAGAAACACTGTGAGGAAAGAAATCGAAGAAAAGAAGCTGGGCCTAATTTCTGGCACTTTACACATTAACGCAACAAAGTGTTTCAAAACTTGAGCACTCAGCCCTCGAAATACCGGGCTAATGGGAACAACCAACCCTCCCCCATAGCCTGCCCATATTTTTAAGATAATTATTAAAAAAAACTCAAAATGAATTTCGTTTGTTGGTGAGTAGTGAGTCGTATCATCATGAAAAATGAATGAAACATGAAAAAATCAACACGGAAAGCTAGTTAATTGAAGTATAGAAAAATTAAGAAGAAGGAAAGAAGCCGCGCTTAATTTCCGGCACTTGAAAGATTAACGCAGTAGCATGTTTCAACCTTGGGCGTTAGATACTCGAAACACGGGCTGATTGGGAACCACCGACCCCCCCCCCTCCCCCACTGTGAATTCTGTGGGGCTGAGCTCCTTGTCCGCTGAGGATGCTGATGCGTGTCAGGCAGGCTCGACTTGGCGCAACCCCAGCCTGGTCTCGTTGAAGCAGGCAAGCGACAACAACTGGCGCCACGCCAAACCTACCCCACGCTCCAGCATCCCAGCGAACAAAGCGGTAGTCCCAGCGCGACCCAGTTATCGCTCTCACCAAGCGATTACTTATAATTCATTGGAATAATCAGAAGACGAGTCACAGAGGGTGGAAAAGCTCAAAGAAGTGGGGTCACCAGATCAGGCTATCAGCCTGCAACTGCAAAGTCGCGGGAAGGCTGCTCCAGGAGAAGATGATGGACAAAAAAATTGAGCTTTTACCGCTGATAAATCCGTTTTGGCGTGCGGCACGTATTCTACTCCAATTCAGGATTGTTGTGGCATTTTGAGTGCGACCTCGGCTATACAATGACTTACGGGGGCCACCTGATGTACAAGCCAGTGTTTCTAACCACTTAGACAAAACTCGTACCAATAAGTCCACGATTACTTAGAGACGATTTCATGTGACCTTTGGAAGGGACATTCAGGTATAAAGAAAAGGAATGCGAATAAACTGGCAAAAAAGCCAACCATCGCTTCCCTAGCAACCAAGAAAGAAAAGAGTGAAGGTTGAATTCCTCACGTTCCCGGAGGGTAGAAGGCTTGGGTGGCCTGGGTGGAAGCCGAGATTTGATTCCCGAACCGTGCTCGCTGAGCGGGCCAACGGGTTAGAGCCACTACATCACCTCCGCCACGTGGCTAAGAGGTGGGCTAATAAAGCATTAAAATAATGAGCGTTTCCCTCCCGGAAGGAGTCAATTGAGGGGATGAATGAATCGATTCGAAGAAAATTTTCTAGTTGCGTCTCTAGTCGTGGAAAAGCAAAGCTGAATTCTGAACTGAAGCTAATTCACTACGAACACGGCTTTTTTACGTCTTGAGAAAATGATTTGAATGTGAAATTATTTATAAAATAAGTCCAAAGTGCAGTACCGTATGCTCGCGTATGTGGTGTGGGACTGAAAATGGACTTGAGATTTATGAAGGGATGACGTAGAAAACACGAAAAGCGGGCACGCTATAACATTATAATTCAGCCGCAATTATTTATAGGGGCAATTTTGAATGGCCTTTGGAAATGGGACCCCGTTCGGGTATAACGAAAAAGGAAACGAGGGAGAAATTGGCTGAAAAAGCCAATCACAACTTTCCTAGCAACCAAGAAAGAACCGAGTGAAGGTCGTGAAATTCTTTACGGTGTTGTTGTTAGGGCTAAAGAGAACCGGTCCAGAACGTTAGGGAATTCTCGCCATTTCGAGATGCATTAGTATAGCACGAGGGGGCAGAAGAAGAAGTGGAAGATGGTTTAAACAGCGTGGGAAAATCATAATGGCTTTTACAACAACGAAACGACCGGATGTAACCCATTCAAAGTTCTTCCACGCGTAAGTGATTCATGAAAGGGACGAGTTAAAAAGAGGAGGGTAACCCGCTTTACGAGTCCCCCCCCGCAATCAGAATACGGTGCTTATTAGAGTCAGTGATGGATGCAAAGAGGGAACACGCTGCAACCAGCTCGACTCGCAAATCGATAGAAAAAGCGCGTCAGCCAGTTGACGTAGGTATGAGTTCAGATCGAAATAAGATACTATGCGCTGACGGAGAGGGGGGGGGTGATTCTGCGGAACAACAATTACTAATTGAGTTCAGTTGCACTCACTCACCTGGCTTTTTTGGATCGGTTCCAATAGGATGTGAATACCACGCCGAGAATACCCAACAGTACTGCAACAGCTAACGCTAGAACGGCGATTTTCAGAATAGCTCCACGTGCTGCAGCTTCTGAATGGGGTAAAATATCCTGTACAATGAGAAGTACACCCCTCTGGGAGGTTTCTTGCTAAGCAAAATGGCGAATGAGAAAAATGGGCGATTTTAAAAGGAAAAGGAAAAATTGCTGAAAGTATGGTTTGGCATTTGAGTGTTGAAGATTGACGGGAAAAATGTTGCTGAAAGAATTAAGAGGATCATGAGTGCTTAGGAAAGACGAAGGATGAGGAGGGTCTGTGCGGAGGTGGAGTGAGTGAGCGGAGCGTGGGGGGCATGCCGCGTTCGGCTCGTCGAATCCCCCCCCCCGTTTCCATTCATTGTTGGAGCCGAGGGGCTCACGCACGAGTTTATACGCAAAAGTTCGTAATGAAAGATGCCGCGATCGATAGCGAGCAGAAACACAATGACGGAGAGGCCGGAGATACGAGGTGCTCTTGCTCGTTAAGGGTGGTGTGGGCGTGGTGGGAGGGGGGGGGGATTGGAACGGGATTTCCTTTCGACGACGATTATAAGAACAAAAACTTCGTGCTTCTCAAAGTACTAGTGGGCAAAGGGGCAAGTCTGTACTCGTCCAAATGTCGGCATTTTCCCCCGGTGCCAGCAGGCGGCAATATGTCAACACTGAATACGCGTGGGTGTGAGTACGCGCAGATCTCCCTGAGCGCTCGCCCGTCGTCCCTCATATGCTGGGATGAAAAACGGCGGTATCGTCTGTTATTACGACGAAAATGAGATGAACGCTACAGCGCCGGCCGTAACGCGCGCGCCCGAAAATGAGCACAAGATTCCACACAAAACAGACCACTAATCCTCGAAGTTCTTCACTTCGTCGTACGAAAAACAACAGCCAGGAATGAAGGGGGGTGAGCGTGTGTGAGTGTGTGAGAATTAGTGTGACGCGTAGAGTGGGGGAGGACGGAAAGGGGGCCGAATCGCGAGTGAGATGACACACTCACAACCGGAAGTGACTGACAGTTGGCGGCATTGCGATAAAATTTCAGCCAACGGCTGGAAAACATAAGGTTCCTGGTTGAAGGGAACGCACCTGTGGTGATCACCTCGCTGAAATCTGTATCGGAGAACAAATTTGGCGCTGTGAAGAGTCGTAACTTGAATTTGTAGTTGGTCCCAGCCTTCAATGGACCATTGCAGACAGTATCGGACGGTAGGTCTTCACAGGTTTGGTCTATGCCAACGGCCTGAAATGAGTCAAGCATTAAGAAGCCCTAGGGGAAAAGAAACCTCAAAAGAAAAATCACATGATATGAGAGCGTAATATGAACGGGATATTTTTCACAATGATGGGAGATTTCCGACAGATTGACGAATCACTTCATTATTTCATTGGGTAATAGTTGTGGAAATCAATTTTCCGGAAGACACACACCACACACCACTCAGACAGGTGACGAGCAACAACTGCTGCTGCGATGTGTGACGTAGCGCAAGGGTGACTTATCACCACTGATCCATCGCTTTGCACCCGTTCGTTCGTCGCGCGAAAGGACGTAAATATTTGGGCACGGTTCGAAATGATCACCCGATTACGCGCACTCGATGGAAGCTAACCCGACAACCACCAGTTGTACTTGATGTTTTCGCGATTTTGATCACAATATTATCACCCTACGTCTAGTTCTGATAGCACCACGAAAAGGCGGGGGGGGGCACTTTGTGCTTTCGTTGCTTCCCTAGTTCCGGTTTACAAGTCTCACTCTGGTGAAACCTGTGAACTCTTGTGAAGCTGGAGCAAGGTCGTCAAGCCATCATGGTAAAACCTGTCAACTCGAAAAGAGGCTGTCTAGATAGGTCGACACGTCGATGGGAAGTAGCAAAATGCAAAATGCCCCCCCCCCCCTCGTCACCGAACTGCGCTCAACGACAATACGTTCAAATCCAAAGTACTACCAAAACGGACTTCTACAAAAACTGAACGTCAGTGGAATAAATCCCCATTGTGACTAGAAAATCCACTACGCGGAAGAAGTTCTGTTTGTTCAGAATATTGAATCTTTTTTCAGAAATTCACATTCAGTTGTGCACAAGTGAATGTTTACAAAGCGCTACAGGCTACAGTTACCCTGGGAATGCTGAGTTTTGCACAGAACATTTAGCCCGAGGGAACTACGAGGAGTTGAGCTGGGAGACCTACCCCATCCGCTACATTCTCCTGAACCTCCGGGCAACCACCTGTTCCACCCTCTAGGGCTTTCTTGGCTTGGAGCCCTCTAGCAAGTCGATGACATTAGTCGAAAGATCACTTTCTTCTACGAGCATCCCCGATATTGGGATAAGGGGATCCTCGATGAAATTCGAACCCTGGCCCTTGTAGTACTCGCGCTCGAGTAGCGCTAGAGCGAGTTCCAGTTCAACCTGACGCCTTATGGAAACAAACCAATCTCGTGTCGATTTTTTCACATACAAAAAAGTAGGGACATTAAGGAACTCGTACTAGCCTTGCGCTTTACAACCTGACGCTAAACAATTCGTGACAAGGTGACGCTCGTAGCACTGGCGCAAAAAGTGATTACCATTACCATGGGGGTGAGCCTTTGGAGCCGGGGAGGGGGGAGAGGGGCCACCTGACATTCAATAGAGACGAACTCTGGACACAAATATAGAAATTTGAAGGTATAATAATTGCATAGGGCGATGGTGGTGTTGTATTACCGCTAACCAAGCACACAGCCCCAGAATCGCACCGTCCGTGTCAGACAAGCCTTGGAGGTGGACACTAGGTTCTGGGGGATAAAGACCCTCACTTGCACATGCTGGCCCTCCGCACTCATTGTATAGGCTATACTGCATTCAAAACTCCACTTCTGAACGGACGTAGTGAGCGTGGCGCGACCCAAGAGAGGAATAATCAACGAAAAAAATTTCATTGTTTCTCCTGTACTAGCGGGGCAAAAGGTCAGGCATACCGAATGAGGATGAGCCCCACAACCGGTGGTGGACATGAACCTGCCACAATGGAGATACTCCGCATAGACAATAATGATGGCCATTTTCTCAAATGGTTTTCCGTGGGACAACGGCGGCAATTGTTGCGAACGGGTTGAAAAATTTACCAGTCACGACCCTCGTAAAGCTCCAAACAGTTCTTTCTAATATTCATGCATTCAAATAAGGCCATGTGAATCATACGTTCCGCCTACGCACTTATTACGAACTTTGTATTCCGTTGGCATTGAAATTTTTCAGCGCAAATACACTACAAAAGAAATAGTCCTATAATGTTAGTTATGGGGTGTACTTCTCCTCAGGAGGGGGTGCACCCCACTGGTTTCCATCGGCGTGGAGGCTAGTAAACCTCTGGGAAGCTGGAAGGGTCAGAGAAGCTTGAGCAGTCGTCACCTCGGACACTCGAGGATTTGATCCCCGGACTGTGCGCTTGGTAAGCGTGCCACTTGCAGCTCCACCAGCTCCGAATTTCTCAGACACTTATCATAATAAAATCAGTGAGTGCCGGTTTTATATCCGATTGTAGATCTATACCTGTGCCGTTCGGCTTGGAGGGGCAGTTCTGCACTTCCGCTATTTCCTATTGGTTGATTCATGTGAACTGACAAGTCCCGCTTTGGTCAGACTTGTAGACCCCAGTGAATCTTCGGTATTTTTCGAGTAGCCCTTTGGTCATAGGGGTTCACAGGTCTCCACAAGGTGGCCTGCACAAGCTCAGCTAAGTACCGTTTGCTGCCCCCGCCGAGCCGAACTCTTTCTTATACCACTATATTTTTTTATTTAGCATCGATTTCAGTAAGCATTTAAATTGCATGATGTTTATAGAGTTTTCCATCTCCTCTTTTCCAAGGGAAAAATGAAGACCAAAGCTCTTTCGCCTCCAACGCAAGGCTCAGGGAGGCTATAATAGTACGTGAATTAGATCACGACGCGAATATTCTGTGCCGTAATCAAGCGCCATTGACCAATGAGAGTTCGTCTCGTGCAATAGATGCGGAAGGGTGGTTATCTATTTGGACGCCCACATTGCTGACGCCATATATGTTTACTAATGATGAAATTCTAGCGGAATCACAAAGTCACGTAGATGCCGACGAAAACACATGAATTCAAAATGGACAGTGTGAAAAAAGGCTTCGAGCTTTTGCAATTTGCAAGCTAAGCCGTGAGAGCGTAAAAAATTTTCCCCCTCTAACTATAACACCCACAGAACCCCAGTGCTTGCTAAAACGTTGCCTCTAGGGGCTATTTAGTGCTCTGATTATAAATGAGCCGTTTATTTTTAGCTCTCTCTCTTGGAAATGAGATCGATTTATCATGAAGTCCACGAATATCCCTGCGAAGGGTTGGTTTTTATAATAAAAATCGTGGCG